AAGGCTATGACAGCTTGGCTCTGTTGCACATTTCCATAACTGCAGGAGACCACATTGTGGCCAAGAGTCCCCATTTGCTGTGATTCCAGCTGCAGGATCTAAGGACAGCATCAAGGATGGTCTGGCAGGGAACAGTAATATCCTTAATTGTATCCATTAATATAGATGGAAAAGAACAAGTGAGCATTTGAGCATTATTGCTTTCTTTCACACCTGAGAAAGAGCTGGTGCGGTCAAGAACACATTTTCTACCCCAGCTGTATACTGTGATTGGTCTAATAAAAACATGTTTCATTTCCCTACAAAAATCACTTTTCTGGGCACATTACAGCCATAAAGGATGCTGTTTTCTATTCCTGGCGTCCTTTAAAAGACCAGGGTTTGCTGCTTATATTAGTGAATGCACCAGGCACATGATACAGCCAAGTGAGCACTGCTGTAGAAGTCTTCACATTATAGTTTTCTAAGCTTGATCCTCCATGCACTTAAATAGATTTTACATAGTACTCCTCAGACACCCCAGCAGCTGCTTCAGGTTTTCACCAGTTTAAGAAGATTAGGACTGGGCCCAACAGCCTGTGTGCCTTCCAACAGCCTACGTGGTGCAGGCACTTTTACCTCAGTGAGCTCATATGTGTGTTTCCAGAGGACAAAGGGCAGGACTGGGATCCACAACTGGGATGTGTGTAAAACTGATGGCTAACTGGGCACTGACTTAAATGGGCAAGCAAACTCAGATGAAACCAGGCAAAACTGGTTTAGGATCTGGTTGTGATGCACATGCCAGCAAGTGGCATTTGGTCCTTTTGGCAATTCCAGAGACCATGTACAGAGGATGGTTTGGTCAAAAAAGTTGTATTAAAACCAGAACCTTAATGCCACTTATCTTGATCTTCTGTGGGGTTAAGGCTGCTCCTGCCACACACAGCCTCCGAGCTCTTATCCTCCTCCTTTCCTGTTACTGAAACAGCCTAAACATCATGTTTTAGTTATAAAGTGAGTTTAGTGGATGGAAGGGTGGGAGGGGAAGGGGGATTAAATTTACTGCTTCAGTGACTGCAGATCTGAAATAAATCTCCGATTCAATGATAGATCAATAACACCAAGATTGGGTTTAAATTATTAATAAACTATGAGAAACGAGGATAATTATTCTATGAGTCACAGCTCTCCAATGTACTGCACATTTTTTCCCTGAGACATCTGCATTGAAGCACACTCTGACTATCTTTTGGCAGAAAGCTGTAGCCAAGAAGTTAATGCTTTTTATTTTGCTAGCTAAGCATTTCATAAACCCTCATGGGCTGAGAGAGCCTAGTGACAACATTGTGCTTCTCTCACAGAGAAACCCGTAGACCAGGATCCCCTAAAACAGTTAGGTATCTAATGTGCCCTTGGGAATCAATGTGATTGATTTGAATCACATATGTGAACGGTCCAGAAAGCCCTCAGATGTCCTTTTGAACCCCTATGGCTGGAGATGGAGGAGTTGTGCTAGCCTAAAAGGAGATGCTGGCCTTGAAAAGTGACCTTGACCTTGGATGGGTGCAGAGGCCGGTCTTGATGGTGGCATCCTGGAGGGACAACCTCAGGACTGCAGGAGGCAGGGAGGGGAGGAATGGCTTTTGCACACTGCTGGCAGACTGGAGTGACAGCCCCATGAAAACATGTGTGAGCTTCAAGTGAAGTACATTCCCCCTTTTCAGGCAAGAAGAGAAGGATCCATTATCCCAAAGAGACCTATTAAAATCAAGAAGCTGAAAACTGGAATATTACTCCGTTCTGGGTTGCAACCATCTCTCTTGACCAAGACAACCCACACTGACACAGTATGGGCTAGAGATGCTGAGTGCTTCTGGGCATTGTCCCACTTCAGCAGGTGTCAACCCTCAGCTTCGGTGTCGATGCTTAGGGTGGTGATGGAGAGCAAGTCCAACTTCAAGGGGCAGCTCACTGCAAAATCAGCACATCCCTGCTCTTTGACAGAGCGGGCTGGGGTTGTGGGGGCTCTTGATGCTTGTCAGCTGCTGGGGTACCAGCCAAGGTGCTTTGCCTTGGCTTACCAGGAGGGGACCTTACTTAAGAGAAGAGGAACAGAACTCAGGATATTGGTAGCAAAAGGCATTTATCCGTATCAAAACTGCTTCAACTGAGTCAACTGAATGAAAAAGCTTACCTTGTATTCTTTTTTTTTCTTTTTTAAATTAAATTGATGCCAAAACCCCATTTATTTTTAAACAGAAACTTAGAGTTCTGAGTACTTGAGATGTTGGACAGGGCTGCTTTAAAGGAACTTACTGTCCTCTGCAAATGACTTTAGGTGACCCCACTCCGATGGGTGATACCGCATCCTGCTGCACCCTACACAGTCTGCGGGGGCACCCCTTCTTTACCACAGCACATCCAGCAGCAACTGGGGATTTCCATACCCTCTGCCACCCTCTCATTTCTCCTGAAGTTGTCTGTCAAGGTATGAAATCATTCTGAACTGTGGGAAATGGGGGGAGAGGACACCTCCTCCCAGCCCCCCCAAAGGGATATCATAACACTAAGGAAACCTTAGTATAAAATGAAGCTGTTACTTCCAGGATGGGATGCAGTTGACATGCATGGAATCTACCCAGTGATAGTTCCCCAGGCAACCCTGCAATCCTGGCATATGCTAAGAGAAACCGAATGGAGGATGGAGCCGGCCAAAGGCCCCTTGGCCAGGCTCAGTTACACTCCCTGCAGGAGTAAGAACTTGAGGCACCATGTGCTGATCAACCACACAGCAGCTGCCAGACAAATAAACTAGGTCTGTATTTGTAAAAGCAAAGCGAGAGGATTTTACACCCATCAGTAACAAAGTGTGTATGACCAGAGTCACTCAAGCTCTATAGGCATAAAGGTTAAAAGTTCAAACCCGTGCTACTATGGAGAAGCCTGGACAGATACAAGGGCCTCCTACGAGGTCAGGGTGAACAACCACTGACAAACAAAGAACTCTTAGCGGGAGAGGAGGCTTTGTCCCTGTACAGGTAGATTAAGAAACAGAGCTAACGAATCTGTAATCAGGAAAGACTACCCTTGAAGCCTTGTACAGCACATGGACATTGTCAGCATACGTCTTGATGTATCGGCAAAACATGACTAGGGTGTCCTTTTGATGGAAATGATGTGACCTTTTGCAAACTAACTGAACACTCTGTACATGATGGGAGGGTTACAGGGAGCTACTAACCTGAATCAAACTGTATAAATATGTGGAATTAGGAAAGGGAAAGCAGAGAAGACTGCACTGTAATTTCTGGGATCAGTCGACGGTCTGAATTTGTCTTCTCCCCATAGGGACACTTATTGGATAAGAAAAGAACTTTATCTTATGCTAAATAAGTAACTCATGCTAGCCGTTTTTAGTTATTATAGTCTGGTTGTGTATCACTCGAAGCTTGCTTTTTACAGACAGTCCCTATCACTGGTACTGTTGGTGCATTTCCCTGAACAAGTCAGACAAATTGTCCTCTGATCCTGCATGAGTGTTCAGTGAAGGGTCCCTATAATGGGACCCTGACAGACTGGTTGGGCACAAGGATCTTAGCTTCCCTGGGGGCCTGATAGAGCAAACAGTATGGGCTGTGAAAATCTCCTCCCCCCACACCCGTTTCACAGGACACTGAACCTACATCATGGAGCAATCAAGGTGTCCAGCTGCTTCTATCTGTGTAAGGCAGGGAGAAATTTTTGATTGCCCTATGATATTCAGAAATAATAATGATAAAACCAAGATGCTGAACAAACTGTGGTTGGAGCCTGGCTTGATCTGGTTCAAGGGAAGGAGTGAAGGACTTTTGATTTATTTTTTTTTAATTTGTTTGCATTATTAATCCAACAAGGCCTTTACACATCACTGCTTTTTTATTAGTTACCTATGAATTATAAAGGATTCTGGGCACAGCACACACAAATTAATGTATTCATGGATGGAAACTTTTGAGGAGTAGGGGGAGCAGTGATGCTCCGGTGCTTCCATCATGTGTTTGCTCTCCCAGCTCTGCTGAGGTAGTGAAACACCATCATCATCACCTTACATGTGAGGAGCAGAGCCTAGTAAAAGCCCATGTGCAGGTTAAGTGGGACAGGTAGCGAACCCGAAGTCATGGACGCCCCTGTTGCTGGGACTAGGAGGCTGGTGGGTGACTTAGGTTGCTCCACAGGTCAAGCTGGTGTTTGCTCAAGGACAGAATGTGCTCAGACCAAGCAACCTGCCTGACCATGAGGGGCCTGGGTGCAGCCCCAGCGATGCATGGGCAGATGGCTGCACCTCAAATCATGGCTGGTCCCTGAAGGACAGCTCTGTGAGGAGCTGGGCTGTTGGGTTTCCTCCAGTTCCCACTGCAGCAGCTCTGCATCTCAAGGGAAGGCACAAACCTCTCAGATGGGTTGGAAATTCTTGTTTTTCCTGAATTTATGCAGTGATTTTCTGTTAGCCTCGATACTACAACAGAGGTTTTACCTCAGACCATAACACTTTGGGGAAGAAATAAAGCCTGCACTCTTCCAGGCTACAAGTTATGAATTTATAACCCTATCATGAAGAAAAACCTTTCTGCATGTTCATGTAGCAATACAACAGCCTTCCCTTAAGCAGCTGCTTATATCCATTTCCCTTAGTGCCAAGCATGTTACCTGTGATAACATCTTTAAGGAAAAAAGCCAAAACAACCCTCAAATATTCATATTTGGAATGCTATCAATGAACCGAGTGCCACTCAAAGTACACTGCAGAAGAACTTGACCTTTATTCATCTCTTGAGCAAGTGTGTCTTCTCTTGAGCAAATTCTCTTCTCTTTTCTCCCCATCTTTCTGTAAGGAAGACCAGGTATTGTTTAACATTTGTATCGGACAGCTGAAAGGAGTGAGCTATGTCCCCGGACCATGTAAATCCACATTGCTGCAGCAGCATTGGTAGTGTGAAAGGCGGTATTAGACTGATTTACTGTGACCTGGGAATCAGACCTCCCTTTCCCCTACAGCTGGAACAGCAGCCTGCAGAATAAAAATCATACATCGCAGCAGCCTCGAAAGATGCTGCATCTGACTAACAGCAACAGAAAATAATAAAAATGCCCTCTGCAGAGGCCAGCAGCATCTCTTTTAATGTAGAAAATGTTGAGGGTCCCAAAGACAACCGCTTAGACAGACATTCCTTCCAGTTTATTAATAGCAAGGGCACAGTGGCAGCTGACAGGCTGTGGATGTCTCAGGCATACTGTAAATCTCCAGTTGTTAGGTGTTCCTGCTGCTCGCCCACGTATGGCATAAATACAGCCTAACATGACTGAATTATATAGAAAAATGTTACCAATTACTCTCCTTACTTGGATTCCTTCGGCTTGAAGCCAGTGGGCTGCGCTGAGGGGGGATCTGCAGCTGATGCTGGAGCGGAGGACAAAGCTTTCTTTAAAAAATAATAATAAGAAAGATCCTCTTTTTGCGCAGAACAGTAGGATTTTTCCCTTGCCCTAAGATTTCTTGCCATTTCATTATTTTGTATTTCAGATAAAGCCTTCCCACTTTAACGAGGAACATTTTTCCCCATCGGTTTTAATGGTATAATAAATTGCGTGCAAGCAAAGAAAAAGCTCCCAAAAAAAAGGATCCGTAAAAAAGTTGCAGGAGACCGAGGCAGGCTTTGCAGAGAGAGAGACAAGAGTTACAAGCTAATTTACTTTGCTATTCTGTTCAGGTTTCATCTGTAAGCAGCCTGGGTCTCCTGCCTTTACTGGCTCTTTGGGAGGCCATATTCCCATGGGTGTTTCACCTTCTCTGCTCATGTTGGTGCAGCTGCACAGGGGCAATGGAGGGTAGCGAACTGAGGCTGCCCCTCTGTGGGAAGGTCATGATGCTACAAGAACAGGGAGGACACTGGTAATTTTTGCCTGAACACCTCATACAGGCAGTTAGAATCATAGAATCATAGTTGAAGTGCCCTGAGTGGTTTGCTGTCAGAGCAGAACCCTTCTCCTCCAGGTTTGCATTAATTCAGTAGCCACAGCCTGCATGTTTCCCTCTGCATGCAGAGCACAGCAGACCTGGGGGCTGTTACAGCCCCCATCTCCTAGGTTAATTGTACATATCAACTCAGCTGAAATGCTCTATCAAATAATGCACTTATGTAGCCTACCTTAGTGCCTACATCCCAAGAGGTGTTATTTCCAAGAGTTCAGAGAGGACACAGGGAGAGATTTAGGGCAGGCATATGCAGAAGGTGGTGGGAGAGAGGAAAGGCATCTGTGGGCATGTAGAGGTCTAGGGAAAGAGGGTGGACATGGAGACATTTGGGGAGGCAGTAGGGTTGCAGAGGAGATGAGGGGAAAGAAAATGTAGAAGAGTAGGAGACAAGGAAAATAGAAGAGGCATGGCTGTGAGAGGGAGCAGGGAGCCAGAGAAAACATTGAAATGAAGGTTACTGCTCAGATTGCATGAACCAATCTTACGAAAGACAAAACACTATGAAAAGAGATTGCAAAAGGCCAGAGAGGGCCCGTGAATCACTGTAGTGTACAAATTCTTGAAGATGTATTAACTGTTTACTCTAGGCTCCTGAAGAGGCATTCCCGTATTTGATTTTCCTTGGTAAATCTACTTGTGTCTAAATACTAGCCCTCTACTAAAACAGGCTGAAAGAAACTTCATGTTTCATCTGAATTTTAAATTGCAATGTGGAAATCAAACAAGCTGTCCGGGATAATGCTGAGACAGGTTTCTGCATGCATTTGCTTCCAGTCACTTGTAGCTGTTTCAGATGCTCAGCCTCTTGCCAGGGCATATTTGTCCTCAAGGATGCAGCTCACGTGTATGCCTGCTAAGAATACTTGATTTCCAAGTGGAAAGCTCTTAAAAATAAATCTTACATGTGCAAAAGAGTCGATTTTCCTCATTCTTTGGAGCTGGCAAATTTGCATTGAGAAAAATGCAAAAGTGAGCAGAAAACATTTCTGATGGCCAGCCCCGAGGAGGACCAATGCATGAATTCTCTAGGAAACAGGTAACTCTTTACTTCAGGGATCAGCCTGGCTCTTTCACGCTGGCTGTGCATTTCTGGCTGTGCCAAGGTGGGCTATGCTGGGGGCTCTGCTGTATCAGGTGGAATGCGTGCTCACAGCATGATCAAAGAAGAAATAGGGAAAAAGTCCAATCTTTCCTCTGGAAGCCTGATTTATACTTAGGAGAGAGACAAGTTGTCCGTCTTGGGACCCAGTCTGAAATCCAATCTCTGTTGCAGAAAGCCAGACTGTTCCCCATGACTGCTGTGTGGTCCCTTTCTAGTGGCTTTTGATGGGTCCACTTGTCCCTTCCTCACCCACTCAGGGGGATGGCTGTGACCCTGTCCTGCATACAGCCACAAATCACATCCTGGCTTGCAAACAGAGGAGGTGGGCTATGTCACCACAGGAAGCCAGAAATAAAATAGAACAAATTCTTGCCATCCTTAAAAAAGTCATCCCCCCACAACATGATTTAGAGGGTTTTCCTCTCCATGGATTAACTACATTTTTGTCCCACCTATCTGCCTCCTGTATTACTTACTGAGCTCTAAAATATTGTTAAAAGCAGGTTGTATATAAATATATATATTTAAAATGTAAACATAGCTTGAGATATTTAATAAGAGACATAATCATCTAATATTAGTTTGCTGGCATTTACATGACCAGAGCAACTTGGATCCAGACAAAACTAAATCTTTGCACTCTGAACACCTCAGAAAGTCAGAAATGCTGCCTAAAACGGAGGGGCTGTCCAGGCTTCACTCTGCTTCTGTTTAAATTACCGGTAAAATCCCATTTTTTCTAAACCAGCACCTTGCATTTGTGCTGAGCTCTCTCCATGGTTGGGATTCAGGCCTGGTGCTCCTTGAAACTCACTATTTTTGCCCAAAACATGGTACAAACCAGCCCAGCTGCCCACAGGACTGCAGCACTTGCTGGCAGGCAGGGAAGGGCAGGCACATGCTTTTCCTCAAAATCCATCACCATTTTAGGTGCCCAGGCATGGCACTCATATGTAACCATATGCAAACAGAAATGTGTAGAAAAGATCAAGTACAGGCATCTTATTGTCTCTCCTTCCCCCTAATAGATTGCTGAAAAATACCTGCTAGCAGCTTATTTTTCTTTGAAAAGTCTCCATAGGTCTTCCAGGAGACTTCTTCCCTCTGTTCTGCAGAGAAAGACGAGGAGGCTCCTTCAGACTCTGCATCCCAGACAACCTCTGTGCTGGTTTTCCTAGCTGACTCTTTGTTCAAGCATGCGAGATTAGTCTGCTTAATATAATCTTGTATTCTCTGCTTAGTGAAGGCCTCTTTAGAAGCAGTGTACTCCGTTTCCAGCCTTTTCATATTTTTCACTGTGAGAACAGAGCTGGAATCTGATGACCCAGTCCCATGGGGAAATATTTTTGGCTGGTACTGGTTACCGCCAGACCATGACAGCTTGCGTCCATTAAACATATCTGCAATGCATTAAGGAGATGAGAATCTTCAGCAACAGGCAAAGTCAATTCGTTGTTCTGGTAACAAAGAAAGAAAGGAAAATCCCATTAGTCATTTACTCCTGAAGGGCATATTGATTGATGTAGTTAAAATGTTCACACTAAGATAACCTTATTAGATTGAAAATCACTTTCTTTTCAAGAGGATCTACTAGGCTTCAATTCAACAAAGCCATTAAACAAATACCTGGTATCCAAGGCATACCCAAGTCCCATTGGTGAGATTTTCTTAAATAGGTTCCACCTAACACTTAAATGCCAAAGCTTAAGATAGCGACAAAGGACAGCATAATGCCTGTTTGTGTTCAGATAGGCCCAAAGTTGAGCAACCAAATACCTTACATCGTAACACCCAATAGTCCCTCTTCTCCAGTAAGGCTGTCTGAAGATTGCATCAGTGATTTCGTTATTAACCCAGTTTACTTTGGCTATAAAATGCTGTACAGCTGAAACTTACTGTATGCAGGCTGAAACAAGCACTTTATATTCATTTCTAGCACTCAGACAAATTATTTTGGACATTTTATGCTACATGCTGATGAAGAGAAAAATAAAAATGTACAGTGGAATCTGTCTAATTGGACCTGCTGGTGTCCATCTGACCATGTCAATTAAATAAAGACAAACAAAAAGGAGCTCTCAAAGGACTCGCAGTGAATAAACCCAGGGTAAATACCGCATGTTTTTTCTTATTGCATTATTCTGTATAGTGGTGTGTCTGAAACATAAACTAGCCATAAAAAGCAGCTCGCCCTCCTGTTTGCAATATCTAGTTAATTGTGTCTGTATCTTCCCTTCATCCACTCAGCTTGTTTAATGTCAAAAGAGAAAGGAGGGAAAAGTAATAAGGTTAGTTTGGCAGAACTAGAGCTTCACAACCTCCTCTTCCCCTATGAACCTCTGCCTGCCAGTTCCCATTGGGCATGATGCTCCTCTGCTCTGACCGCAGAGACAGCTCTTCACAGGTGTTTTACCGATGCAGGAGGCCCAAAACCTTTCAGTGCTCTGGTTGCCAGCTTTGGGGCACCCATGGACCACCTCCAGTCTATGTAGTTGTCTCTGTCCACACAGTCAGAGTGGTGTCTGCCAGCTGTCAGACTCCATGGACATGCACACAAGTGAGCACCACAGATGAGCAGGGGACCACTCCATGGGACATGCTCCTCACCCCTTGGATGGGCTTCCCCAGTGCTACAATTTCTGAGTAGCAAAAAACCAAGCAGGAGCAGCACAGCACCATCCATGGTGAAGATGCTGACAAGGTGAGGACCCAGCCAGCACTGTTTCTGTGGTACTCTGGCAACGGTCATCTCTTTTGACTTGTTGTGTACTAAGCATCATAGGTCTGAGACAAGGTGGCTAGTGAGTTTTAATCCACAAGTCTGACCTAGTTTAGTTTCTTAATACAAGTGCCTGACAGCATGAACTCAAATGCTACAGAGAAGCACATGTATAGGGTATCAATACCTCTCTCTGTCAATCAAACTTCTACATCTCATTAAAAGAAATCACTGAGCTGGTCTGGTAAAAGCCATATTCCCTAACTCTGTGTTAATTCACATTAAGGACTATCTTTAATTCTTGTCTTATGCTTTTCTCAGGGTAAGTTTTTTCAGTTCTCTGGAACTTTTCTTCTGATCCAGGACTTGTGAAAACCAATACCAATGATCTGGAGAGATCCTAAAGGTTTCTCTTTTACTACTCTTTGGTCTGGGCTAGCTATCTGCATCTGATTTTAAAGCACTTAGCTTTACCAGTCGCAGTCTAACACTGCATCTTTTGTTGCTGGGGCAGAAAGTATCTCATTATCATGTAATCTAATTGTGTTGCTTGATTATTATCTCTGGAGAACTAGCTTTGGAAAAGTTTGTCATTTCTGCCTTTCATGAACAACTCTGTCATTTCTCTTGTAACAAATTAATGTTAAGATTCCTTTGCTTCTTCATCATACTTTAAATGACATACTTTGAATGACACCACCATACTTCAATGAAATCTCTGATGTCATTAACTCTACTCATGGTTGTACTGCTGTCCTTTTGCAAAATCAGGTCAGCTAGATCATGTGCATTGAGGCTTTGTCTGGTCAGATTTTAAATCTCTCCATAGACTGAGATCCTACAGCATTTAACAACCCTCATGCTGAAAATAGTTTTGTTAATATTTAATTGGTACTTCCCATACTCCAGTACGTGTCAGTTGCTCCTTATCCCCGTGTACTGCAGCTCCGAGAAGAGTCTCAGCCTCTCATTTGTCAACTACAGGCAGCAATGAGATGTATGTGAGCATTTTCTCCTCCAGGCTGAAGAGTCCTGGCTTTCTCAGCCTCCTCTTATGCATATAGACTCCAACCTCTACATGTCTTGGTGACCCTTTGCTCCAGTACACCCATGTATCTCATAATGGGGTGCCCCAAAATAGACACATCACTGCAGATGTGCCTCAGCAGTGCTAAACAAAGTGTAATAATCATATCCCTCCCGCTTGGGTTTGGAAGTCAAGTCTCACCCAGAAGTTTTGGTCACTGCTTCCTCTAATCAAGGGCTGCATTCATCTCCCCGCTTTGAAGTCTTGTAACTGTAATTTGCCTTGGATCACAACACATGGATATAGGCAAGCTCAGAGACTGCTCTGGGTCAAGTCAGTGCCATTTTCACAACATCTGCATGTCGGGGGCCATCCTGGCCCCCCGTCTGTGCCTGGGACTTCTCTTCATCTCTGCATGTCTCCTTCATGCTGCATTTCACCTAGGTAAGTCGCCGTGCACCATCACTGCTTAAAACTGGCTGCTACCCTTGAACTTTTCCTTTTAATAAATGTTTGAAGGACATTTTATGGTGTATTCTGAATAAGGCTTTTGAAAACTTTTCTCTTGCAAAAATAAGGGATTTGAATTAATAAAAGCACGACTGAAATGAGCACTTTTCAAACCCAGCAGAAGCATGCGAGTTGTGAACATGCAGGCTTAGCTCACCTGCCTGGTTCTGTGCAACAGCAGCACCAGTGCCTAGGGTAAGATCTCATCCTTAACGTACAACTTGTCTAGGTTGCCTGATCACCCTTCCTATCCTTGACTTACCACTTCTCTTCCTGTAGTGGAGAGTTATTTCAAACAGACTTTTCCAGGCCAGGTTGAACGGGGCTTTGAGCAACCTGGTGTAGTGGGAGGTGTGTGTCTCTGCCTGTGGCAGGTGGGTTGGAACTTGATGAACTTTAAGGTCCGTTCCAACTCACATCATTCTGTGATTCTCCCTGTGCCACTCTACACAAAACCACATAGCTGACCCTACAGAAATCATGTATCAGGTGGGTAAAGCCTTCACGACACACAGCTTCTGGCTCTGTGCTTGTACCTTGCCTTCCAGGCTGAGCCATCATGCTCATCAGGACAGTCCTACTGAGCAATATGAGTGACAGTAGCTTTTATAGGACCTTCTCTTGGCACTGAGTACATCAAGACTACACAAGTCCTGGATGAGCAGTTTCCCCACAGTCTGAAATGCAGTGCTTGAATGTTCATGTTGAACTTTTCCAGGAAAATGAAGAGGATCAGATGAAGTGTTTTACTGAATTCTAAATATGGGGATTTTTTTTGCTTGCATGATTGCTTTCATCAAAAGAATACTCGAAACAAAAAACTTGTGGCAAATTAGAGGGATGAAATGCCACTTTGAAAGTGCCAGAATTAAAGATTTTTGCTTTGGAAGTGTGCCTCCCCCTCTCCATCATGAGCCATTCTGGGATTTTGATATCCAAGCATCACATTTGTCACTTGGCCTGATACATATTCCATCACAAAGCCCAATCTTTTTTTGCAAAATGCAAATAAACATTTTGCTAATCTGGCCAGATAGGATTGCCACACAAAGAAGAGTGCTCTTGCTTTTGTAAGCTGGGGAGTAGTATTAAATAGAAAAATCAGTCACATCAAAATGACAGGCTTAAAAATCTAACAGATAATGATAAGCAGCCCATTACAATGTTACAGGAGATTGTCCACTAAGTATTCACAAACACATCTGTAGCACAATGGCACATCTTCTCCAAAGCCATATCTGTCCCTGACATCAGAGCTCCCCATAAAAAGCAAGTGCATTCAAAGCAACATTTATTGGCTATTTCATCTGAAGCTTCACTTTCTCTGTAGCTCTTCTGTTCTCATAATAATATGCTGAAATCTACTCAGAATATTTTAATCTTATAGAAATAAAACACAGCTGAAGTAGTTGGAAGGCGAAGGGTTCATGAGGCAATTTCCTCTGATTCATTGGGAGACAAAGATAGAGCAATGACTGCGTTTGTGTTAATAACAGTGGAATTGCCGTTACCTCCATATTTCTTTGGCTGTTGCTGTCATGTCCCATCTCATAACCCCCCTGCTCTCAGCCATGGCCAGGGTGGATGTGTCCATGGGAGGTCATAGCAGGACCTTCTGTCATCTCCATTCTGGGGCACTGCCCTGAGCTCAATGATGCTTTCTAATTGAGATGCCTGGCCCCATTTGGGTATTTCCATCACAGCTGCCAGCTTCACTATCAAAACCTTGTTTTCCCTACTCTGAACAATCCCATCATCCCCCATTAAAAATCAATCTGAATTCACCATTTCTATGACCATGGCCCTTGGGTTGGAACACCTGCTGGGTGCAAGGAATCCCAGGAAAACATTGTGAAGCTGAGAGCTACTTGTGGGACTGTTTAAACCACGACAGGGACCCAGTATCCCAGGCAGCTCCAATGGGTGCTGCAAACACATGGCTAGAGGTGACACCTTCCCGTGGGATCATCCCAGGGGAAATGTTATTGTTTGCACAGCTTTGGCTCCCCAGGCAGCAGCAAAAGGCAGAGAGTGCAGTGCCATCAAATGAGGATTAAACTCCATGCTGTACCACAAAATGTCAGGGAAATTAATTCCAGTCATAGGCTGCTTGTACATATCCCAAAAGGTAGAGGAGTGCTATGTACACAAGGTTAGAGAGACTTTCATACATAGACATTGCAGGGGAATTTCCACAGCACAGTGGGTCTGGTGGGAAAACTATGTAAATATGAGTTTAGTCAGCCTCTGCTTTCCTTTGCTGTCTTCAAGATATTTGTAGGGGGTATCTTTTCCTCTAAGCAATGCCTGTTTGATCCTACAGGAATTATAATGTCTGGCTCTATAGCCCAATGCAACAAACGGCATCTGACGGTGCCTCTGCTTTGTCTATCTTTATGACTTTGTGGTAGGACTTTACAATGTAATAGCTGATCTCAGGCGCTGCCTGACCCACAGCCCAGGAGGGACTGTGGGCCCCAGTGAAGGGACTCTGTTGCTGCAGTCTCCCTGTTTTGTTGGAGCAAAGGGGCTTGCTGGCACAATTAGTGCTGTTGATGTGCAGAGCTACAGCTTAATACCACTCGCCAAGGGCACGCTGTGGTTGTGGGAGTCTACACTTCCTTCAATGTTAAAGAAGCAGCTGTGTGTGTGTGTATATGCATCTATTTACAGATCCAAGGAGAGCAGCTGACTACTTTCCTAATAGTGTGCACACACGCCTATTATTATTATGCACATATACTTTTAATATGTAATATAACACAATGTAATATTACATATATATAAACATTTATGGCCTTTAATTGCAGAATGAGGCCATTAAAAGCAAGCAAATTTTTTCACCTATTTCTGCCGTTGCAGTTGTGTCCAGACTAGATCTCCAGATTCCAAGTTATAACCACTAGTTTTGTATATAGAACAGTCTCCTAAAATAACTATTTGTGCACTTTGTACTTTCAAAGACATTTGGAAAGCAATTGCTTGCTGTAAATCACACAGAAGACTCTTGAGTGGTCTCCCGTTGTGCAGCCCTTACGCCTTATTACATCCTACCATTCCTGTAAGAAGTGGCAGAGCCGGTAATACTCATCTCAGCAGTGTATTTCAGTTGGAAGTGCTGCATTAAAAAGTCTGGATCTCACCATAGTGGTGACATCGGCTCCAACCAAGGGGCTGCTTACCTCTCTGTAACCCGCAGTGGCCATTAACAGACTTATAGGAAATAAATATACGGCATATATGCGATGATCTAGGTCCTGGTGATTTCACTCAGCCTCAAGGTTATAAAGACTGTGCTACTTCTGCAGGTGCAGGGGTGAGATTCCTCTGCTTGCAGCCACTAACGCTCAAATTAAGAGTTTTAAACATTTATTCTGTTAAATCAGTAACTTCTACTATTCTTTTGCATTTGTAATATAGAGGCATAAACAGCTTAGGAGGGGCATGCAGAATCATACTCCCAGCCTCCACCGCTGGGATTTTAAAATAAACCTGATTTTAGCAGGTGCCGTTTCCTGGGCCACAGAGCATACAGGACTCATGCTGTACACACAGCTGAGGAGCTACAGTGCATGAATATGCTTCAGAAAGCCTGGCTCTTCAACAGGATAGCAATTACACGACGCAGTAAAATGAAGCAGCTCCAGCTGTAAATCATGGTTATTAGTGTATGTTCTGGGATTTGTGTCATGAGAGACAAGTACTAAACTGAAGTTAGATTGTCTGAAAGCACAGAAATCCCTGATTAACATTGCCAGTGCTTCCGGCTCTTTCAAGCTCTGGAAGGCAAAAAGACTCATCTGACAGTGCCGACAGAGATTTACTGGGTTTGGCTCAGGGTAACAAAACTGAAGTTACTGCTGTTGTGGCTTTGATTTCTAACACTGCAGCAAACTGCAGGTAGAAACATTCTGTGCTCATTTCGGCACACAGGACCTGATCCTCTCAACCCCACAGGGGTCTTTCAGCAGCAGAGTCCCTGCTGCTTCACATTGCACAGAAAGAAGCCCATGCACTGCTGCCTTTCACCCTGCCCTCTGCAGAAGTCAAACGTTTTAGTAGAGATCAAAATAGCACTTCTTACAGGTGGCAAATAATGCATAAGTGATCCTTTAGCCCCTAAACACAGAGCTAAAGGTAGTAGTCAGGATGCATCCAATGAAACACCAGTGGTGTAAATTTGCAGCAATACCGAGTAAATAAAGTTACTGCAGGCTTGGAGCAGAATAAATCACAAAACCGCAGGCAGTTGTGCTGAGAAAGAGCTGAGAAGCTCTTTGATGTCTCCTCCTTCCCTTGGCAGAACAAACTGCAGTTACGCTATCCAACTGAGCCTCTTCTTTATGCTATGCTTTCTAAAGTGTGCAACTAGATACATAAACGTTGTGGAAAGTCTCAGGAAATGACACATATATTCATGAAACTGCCTAGTAAACTACAAATTCTGAAGTAGAAATTTATGAAGGTGTAATTTGATAAAAATAATGAAAAGAGATAAATGAATATGAACATTGTTTATGAAGAGAAAACAGAGACTGGGAAAGAAGCCAAGAGCCAGTGGTGTCAGCACTGACCCTGTTGAGGCACAATCCTACCAAATTCCCTGAAATCCATTTGTCCACATGCTATCCATTGGTGCTTTGGCAAGAGGCAGCCTGCAAGGCTGCGATGTCCCCAGATGCCATTTGTAGGGTCTGTCAGATTGAGGGTCGGGACGGGGAAAGAGGAGGCACTGACTCAGCTCTCACCAGCCCTCAGCAGATTCTGGAGAAAATATCTACCTTCTTTTTAATTTTTAATTCCTTTTTTTTAGTTAAGGTATCACAGAATTATCACAGAATCACAGAATGGTTTGGGTTGGAAGGGACCTGAAAGATCATCCAGCTCCACCTGCCTGCCACAGGCAGGGACACCTTCCAGTACACCAGGTTGCCCAAAGCCCTGTCCAATCTGCCCCATCTAGGATGGGGCAGCCACAGCTTCTCTGGGGAACCTGTTCCTGTGCCTCAACACTCTCACAGTAAAGACCTTCTTAATGTCTAATCTAAATCTCCCCTCTCTCAGTTTAAAGCTATTTTTCAGTTTAGAGCCATTCCCCCTTGTCCTGTCTCTACATGCCCTGGTATGTTATACTGTGGTCTGGCTAGCAGCTTCTCCCACATTTCAAGGAAGTCTGATTTAAGGGAGGTCTGGGGAGGTCAGCCCTGTATCTCTCCCCTTCCCAGCACTCACCCTTGTGTTTCCACCACCGCCTGCTGCCAGGAAGGGGACAGCCCTTGGGGCACCCTGAAACTTCCTCCTTCTCCCGCCATAACCCCCTTAATGTGCCAAGGTTTTTCATGCAGGAGTTTGCTTTTCATCTCACAGGTGAAAGGGAAAACAGGAAAGGAAAAGCAACAAGTAAACATGAGTGTAAATGGTAACGCATCGTCTGACACTCACAGCAGGGCCACAGAAAAGCTTCCTCCCTGTAAAACCCTGGACGTCACAGGCATTCCAGGACAGGCTTACCTCTCTGGGCAGGAGAATCCAGGAAAGCAGGAGAGGACCCTTTTACGAGGGGCAGACAGAGACCTGCTGCCAGGGAGGTGCCTAGGACACCCTCTTGGTCCTCAGTGGCCCTGAGTGTTGGTGGAACGTTTCCCCTTCCTGTTCCATTGTCACATTGTCCTCCTTTTAGGGCCAGCTGCTGATGTCATGGTTCCCAGGCTGTAACAATAGGGAAGGCAGGGAGATGGGTGCTGCTGCCAGCTTGCCATCCTTCCTGGAAATTTCAGCAGGGCTGTGGGAGCCTGGTGCAGGACTGGGGGATGGAGGGAGCAGGGACTTGCTGTGGTGGAGGATGTGCAAGGCAAAGTCCAGAGAAGTCAGGACTGCCTGGCTTGCTGGGAGTGGAATGCTGATCTGAGAGCTCATCACAGGGAAGGATTGGTACTGCAGTACCTGAGGCATCTTGCCCAGGCAAGCCCTGAGAGGAGACAGGAGAATTTCCTTTCTGTGTTTCCCCTCAGGGAGATCCTGGGTCTCTCATGCTTGGACCCATCCATCTTCATGGTGGGCAGTTTCTACTCAAGGGCTCCCTTGCTGTTGTTTTTTTGCTGTGAGCTGCGCCCTGAACCTTCTCTGGCATGAGCTGTCCCCACGATCCCCAGCACACCATCATGCTCACTCCACGAGGCTGCCAGAGTGAATTAGTGACCCCGCTGTCTTCAAAAACAGCTCTCCAGTTTGGTGGGTTTAGGCCTTTTATATATATACCTTTTTACCCTCCATCCAGGGGTGAAATTAGGTTGCTTTTTATTCTGGCAGCTGAGTATCTGAGCTGAAAGGCCTTGGGATCCTACAGAAGTTGCAAATGCCAATGACTCAGGCAAAACCTGCCTTTTCCTTTCATTCAGAGATTTCTTGGAAGGAAACCAGGTTTAAAGTGAGTGCTTGTTTAAGTACAGCTGTGCAATGTACCGGTGTCATCTGGAAGTCATGACTGCATCTCTGCTGCCTCCAGCTGTGTTCTACTCTTTGCAACCAGTTCTTTTGAACCCTTCCATCAGATTCTGCAGCATATTTTGCACACTGGTGACTGTGCTCATGGTGGGGCTGGGGTATGACCTTACAAAACACATGAAGAGGAATTCACCTTGTGCTCAGTGGTGGTGTCTTGGTGTTGGTTTTTGTTTTAAGGGAACAAATGACAACAGGTGAAGCAAAAAACCTCATGACCAGGTCAGCAGCTGTTGCTGCAGAGTGCTTTACATGCCCTTCAGCTCCACGATGCAGCCTGGTTTTCCTCCTTTGCAGGGCCAGCGGTAAAAACTGAACCAAAATGTCAGTGAGTTTGACCTCTGCATGTAGTCTGAGAAATCACAGTTGATAAGTTGGTGGCTGGAGGGCTGGTGGGGCTGGTGGAGCTTTCCTCCTCCTGGCTCCTGCTGTACAGGGCAAGGAGAAAGTACCACATGGTGGTCAAAGATGTTTCTGGAGCCAGAGGCGATGCTCACCTCCTCTTCTGGACAGCCATGGTTTTGATTTTCACCCTGTGACCCCAGAACTTCCCTAAGGGCATTCAGCTGTAGAAGTTTCTCATGGAATGGTGCTCTCAGGTGGTGTCTGAGGCTTGTCTTCCTGTTGAAAAACAATGAGTGTTTTTGTGGAGGCAGGGGGCATTCTCTAATACACAGCAATTTAAATCAAAATCATGTATTGTACAGTACAAACCTCTAATATACTATAGATTTTATAATTGACTCAAATTTCTCACTAAGAAAAAGTCAATTCCTGCATGGCAGGGCAGCCAGAGGAAAAAATGCTTTAGTCTGCTCAGCAGACAGGGACCTATTTTTAATCCTAAGGCCCTCTGTTAGTTCTTACCTATTTAATGTAAAGCAAGGATTTACTACACATACAACTTAATCCCCTTTTTATATTTGCATAGAGATCTCAGAGTGTGTGTATGAACAGTTTTTGAGATAAGAGAAGGAAGGCCTCAGGAGTCAAAGTCATTATTTTTGCATGAAGTATTTAATGCTAAACATAAATATTGAGAGGACTGAATTCCCATGCACTTACAGACTTCACTCTCATGCTCCTGAGGTTTTTTGCTTTACATCCAGTTATTAAAAGCCTGTTGTAAGTGAATGAAAAAATTTTACAGGAAGCCTTTATTGCAAAGACACTGAGCAGGCTTCATTTTGCAGTTGAAAGGAGAGACAGGTTGTAGACAAAACAGAAACAAAGGTAGTATGCTTCTCACCTCCCCCAAAAGAGCATGGAGAAGCTTTGTCAGGCAGTGGAAACCCGGCCCTAGAAAAGGACTTTCTCCAGTGATGACCTCTAAGGGGATTGAAGGTGGAGTTCCTGTGGTGCACATTCATCAACCCCGCTCATTGTAATTCGCATGATTTACATCCTCACAATCATGATTAGGTGGTGAAAAAAAACATCTACATGAGGGTTGACTTCAAAAAGCGACATTCTTTGTCCAAATCCAATCAAGCCCCGCGGCAGGCAGTCCTTTTGATTTAGCATTAATTTTAATATGTGTGGCCCTGAAAATAACCTCCTGGCTTTGGAAACCTTGGAGAAAAGACTGTTGGGTAAGTGCTGGGCAGAATATTATGTCTGAGAGCTGTCATTCCTTCCTCCAGAGGCAGTTTTTCTGGCATGAAGGATGAGATACTGCACTGATGTGAAATCGATTTAAAAAATATAGTCATAGGCAAGTTGGTGGGGAAGTTTACTTCTCCAGAAGTTAAAAGGGGTCCAGAAACTCCACCAGAATGGCTCATGGAGCTGTTGTGAGCTCAACAGTATAGTGCAGTGAACAGCAGACTTTTGCTTTACTGGGGGTAATGTAACTGGATTATTTTTTGTTCTTCTGCTTCCAATGGATGTAATAAGATTGGCAAGATCTATCTTTGCATGTAAAATCCCTGACTCACTTCTGTTGACAGCAGGCTGGTTCTTGCCTGATGACAACTGGGCTCTTCATTGTAAATCAAAGAACAGGAATGAGAAAACATGTGTTTCAGCCTGATCTTCACTCTTAAACTGGGGCAAAACAGGAGGGTAAAACCCAGGCAGCATCTCTCCATCATATCTTTCTACACTGCCTTGCTATATCAAACTCCAAAAGCAAATCTTGACCAGCACTAATGAGCAAGGGCAGTCTGTGGTCAGTCATCCAGGCAAACGGCTTATGGGTATGGAGAAGGAGGAAATCAGAACAGATGTCTTGTTTACCTACTGCAGGTTGGGAGAATGAGTTTGAACCCAAAACTTGGTTGGGCTCCATCTGACATACAAATGAACAAGAATGCTTTTATTAGCATGCTACGTATCAAAATTAAGGAACTGTTCTCTCCTAATAATGTCTTTGAAACCATTAACCAGTCACTCTACGCCGCTGACAGCATTTTCCTACGCTCTTGAGTGGCTCTCACGCCCTACAATTTTTCTCCTGTGAACAAAACACTGTAGCGCTGACTGCAAAGGAAGGACAGATACCTAATTATAGGTCTTGTTATTAGTAGTCTGGGAAATAAAAAGTCTGCAGTTCATATAGTGTAGAGAATGATGAAGCATCTCAAATCACTAATGTGACTTAAAGTGGGATCTATGTGGAATTTCACATTTCCCCCCCCCATTAAATCCATGTGAAAGCCTGTTTGCAGCAAGATTTGGGAGGCTTTCTGTTGTTTTCCGTGATTTCTGCCAAAACTAAACTTTGAATGTTTTCCTGATGTCTTTATCCCATCAGTCTGTCAGTCAGGCTCATGCTGTCCTTCATGTAAACCTAACAGGGCAATCTATAATCCGGTGTGCAATAGACATCTTGAAGGAAAACAATGTTTGACAACACCTCGAAGGCTGGAGATCTTGCTGCACCCAGGCACATCCCAGCAAGTTTCTGGGACAGGTTGTCCCTTTGATGCCCTTCGTGCACACTTGTGGCTGATCACATCATCGCATGCTCGTTGTCCGCCGATGTAGCTAACATGGAATGACCTTGGGAAGGGACAGTAGTGGGGCTGTTTCCTGTCAGCACACACCTCTCTCCCTGCTAGCAGTCTGCTTTATAGCTGTGTTCAAACCAGATATATTGTTTAGATTAAAATGGGGAGGGGGGAGGGGGGTGGTGTAGAGAGAGGAAAAAGAAACTGTCCAACAGTAAAGACGTAAAGTAAGGGGAAACAGGCATTTCTTTCTGTATTGCTGAAGGCTTTGTAAAGATAACAAGCCATTAAACTTTATAGCCAAAGCCTCAGGGTAGTACTGGTTTGGGGTTTTATGCTGCAGTTGCCTGCACAAGTTTTAGACTGCTTTTGACAGCTCTCCTCCCCTCCTGCACTTTCCTCCCTTCTCCCTGCCCATTTCTGTGATGTATTTGGTCCTTTGAATAAATTGCATCTATTCATTTCTTGTGGGCTTAAATCCAGTGCCTGTCTCTTAAGGACAGTCCATCAGGCTGAGTTAACCTAATTTGGTGATGGTGTAAAGCACATCTGGGTTTGTCTCTTTTCTGTGGAAGTTCCTAGAAATTTTCTGTGCTGGTACTCATTCAGTTAATGAGCACTGTGTCTTTATGGCCTGAAATACTCGACTCCAGAGTCCCTGTTATGTGACACATGGTACTCATGGAGATAAATCTTTGGATTTCTCCATGATTATAATCTGGGCAAAAATAGTCAGGAAAGGGTCATTTCTAATTCCAGACTTTCCAATTTTCAGAAGAAAAAATACAGATCCTCCAACCCTTTTTCCTTCTCACACCCTCTCTTGGGACCATTATATCCTAAGCTAGTTCTAAACTTCAGCTGCACTGCAGAAGAGACACAGCTTATAATCAGCAAATTATGACTTGCCAGACATAGCAAAAGGTTAGAAGGATGTGGCAGCTGAACCCACCTAAATATTGGAAATCCTAGTCCTCGAAAGCTTTGTGGGAAATCCAGGGCAGTTTCTCAAAAGAGGAATAATGTGTTCTTGACATTGCTAATGAGCTGGTGGCTCTGGGATTCTGAAACAGCTGCAAATGATATAGAGTTTACCAGGAAAATCAAAGATACGAAGAAAGCTGTAAGTAGAGAGGGAGTGACAAAATTATGTTTCAAGGATTCTGGTTCTCCTTGACATAACACGTCAA